TCATAGCCGTTAGAGTATCGACAGCCAGAACGTTCGCTTGAGCCAGAGTGCGCCGGATCCGCTTCCGTGCAGCGGTTTGGGTGTTGAGTACCCGTGCCACAGGCTGTTCACCTCCACTCAGTCTTTCAGCATCTTCCTGGTCAGATGACACATCTTCGCATAATATGCTCTAGTAATTACGACATCATTTTGGACACCGCGAAACATAGCAAAATTATAATTTTTGATGTTCATCAAAATATAGAAGGTAGAAAATTTGGAAATTCAAATCGAGAAATAAATGGATTGATCGAGTCTCCAAATTATTCATCTCTAAAGTAACCTTTACTATATTGGTTCTACTATTAACAAGTTATCATGGCGCTGGCAAGAACATAAAAATAAGTTTCAACGTTTTTGTGAAGGCAACAATACACAAATGTCAATCCTACCATACTTTTGAACTTATGGAGTGGATTAATTCGAAATCACCCTTGCAAAAGAGTATGAGAATGTCGACCAACAGCTATTGAAGCCTAAAACAAGCAATTTTATAAAGCCAATAAGCAACGATGGAAAGCAACTTTTAGGGAGCGGCTGGCAAATCGATCCAATTGCGAGTGTGTCGGTAAACATTCTGCTGAAAATTGCTATGTTCACGTTTGATCGCTTTAACCCAAGCGATGGTTAGAAGAACTGAGTGCTTGGACAGTGATATTTTTTGGCAGTCACACAAAAAACAAGTGACTTGTAGATAATAACATAGGTAGATAGTCATGGAAGCCGATACAGGCTGAGCGTCAGACATAGAAAATGACACATGAACAACACCAAAATGACCACATCGTTTTCATAATTTCAATTACATTTTAGATATATATTTCGAAAAAATGAAGATTCAGTACGTTGATACAACTGATGAGAAGCCAGCTAATATTGATGATATTCATTACAAAGTGTACACTCTAGCAATCACACAATCAACGTGAATGCAATTACAATTGACACTGAAAAGTTGAAGTCTGATACCAACATTCGGGAGAAGACCTTGAATCTGGTGATGATGAATACGAAACTGTCTTCGAATTGAGGTATTTTTATACAAGCGCTGCAGAAGATTCACTTCACTTTTGATGGTTTCCAATCCACCAAGCTTATCGATGCTATCGTTAATAGTGGTAAGCGCTCTGTCGCGATATACACTATCATTATCACCAGGCAAAACCAGGCGACTGATGAGAGTGAGTTGACTTTAAACTCCTTGGAGCCGTTCCTGTTGATATACAATCATCTATTTAACGCACATGAACTCCCCAACAAAGTCAAAGCCGTTAAATTCATCGATAAAGCGGCTGCAAAGTGTATTTCTATAGTTGTCAATATAGTTTTGCATGGCAACTATATTCTAGATTGTAATTTCTAGAATATATATTCTGTATATATATATATGGTTGAATTAGACTTGTTTCACTCGATATAGAATTAATCTTGATTAGGATTGGCATTGCAATTTGTTAGCTGATTTGGGAGATTCCTTTTGCATGCAGAAGAATATTAATTGTTCTTCACGGCGCCATTGTCGTTGGAAAAGCTTGTAGAACGTTTACTTTTCCATGCTGCAAACAGTAGAGCCAAAGCACGCAATATCACCCACAGTATCCAAATCAAGAGTCTTGGATATCAACTTCGCTATAGTGATAATGGATAATGCTTGGTTTTGGAGGGCCTAGAGGGTCGAAGTGGAGCTTGTCTTTGCTTGAGATTACGAGCCAGCGGCTTGTTGGTTTGTTGGTAAAAACCGAAGTGAATATATTGAATTCCTTAGTTCGCTACCCTGTGCTACATCTAATTCTATCCGTCTGGATCTTTCTAAAAGCTTCCCCAAGCAACCTTATTTATCTAGCTTATTAATGGCTACCATTATGTCCATAATCAATATTCTAAATCATGATAGTAAACATTACCGTAAAACTGGTGACGTCATCCACGCACATTCAGCGGTGCTCAGCACTCCCACTCACCTCTAATGTTGAATTTTTGAATTCTTGCTTCTTGATGCCTGTCTTTTCGCAGAGAAACATGAGCGTCTTAGTCCCTAGTACCTTGGTAAGCATTTCCGCGAGCTGATGCTTTGTATCGACGTAGTCGATTTGGGTCGATATGTATTTAACACTTCTTGCGTTAAATGATGCTTGATCTCGACATGCTTACTTCTGGCATGCTACCCCGCATTCTGGGCCAGTGCTATTGCCTCTTGGTTATCCTCTCAGACTTGCGTTACAAGGTTCTTATCTTTTCCCAGTCCCCTCAACATCGCGCGCGTCTCGTAAAACGTCCTGGGTGCACAGGCTTTGGGCCGTGTACTCCGCTTCTGCTGAAGTCAGTGTCACAGTTCTTTGAAGCTTCGACTTGAACACCACTGGCCCATTACTAATTTTAACTATCACACCGGATACAAATCGTCTGTCGTCAATGTTGCATCTGCGCTCTGCGCCCGCGAATGCCTCAGCTGGTCCCTCCATCATATATAATTCCACACAGGCGCGTTGACTATAAGTATCTTAGCACACGAATCGCGGCTTGTCCATGCTGTATTCCAGGATTTTCGAGAAGTCTTGATAGCTGTGTAACTACGTAAGCAATGTCTGGTCTAGTAAATGTTGCTATGTACATAAGACTGCCAATGAGAGAGCGATATGACGCTGACTGAATTTCAGTAGCTTTTGCATTTGTTCCTGGCGATTGTCTCTTAAAAAGCCTGAGATTAGAATCGCATTTGTTATCGATCGTCTTGACATTCTGCTGACCGAATCGTTGCGCATCATTGTTGATGTAACGCGTTTGCTTGACCATAAGCGTACCGACTCTCATGTTGTGATCAATCTCGATACATTAAATAAACTTTGCGTCGCCAAGCTACTTCATTCTAACTTAACGGATCTCTACACGGGTCTTGGCTGCAATTATCATATCGTCCACGTATAGACAAACGTAGATTTACCCGCTTTAAGAGAGAATTACGTCACACACTGGTCCGAGCCACAACTCTAAAGGTCATTCGAAACGAAGACTCTATAAATCGTTCCATTCTAGTCACTAGCTGCTTGTCCTAGCCCGTAGATGACCTTATTCGACAAACAAACGTGATCCCCAAAAGTCTTAACTCCATGCGGTATCTCCAAATAGACTCGGTCATTTAGCTCACTATTTTGAGACGCAGTGTCTGCATCCAGCCGTTTCTTATCATATCCGTCTGCGACGCAAACAGCCAATATAATCCGAATCGAATTAATGTTCTCTACAGGAAGTACATTTCAAAAACAATCCACACCGTACGTTTGCTTAGATCCCCTTGGCGACAAACCGTGTCTTATAGCGAATGACTCGGCCATTCTTATCGCGCTCCAGAGCGAAAACCCATCAACATCCAATCGGACGAGCAGCTCCGCGTGATACAATAGACCAAGAACCGTTTTGTTCATGTGATAGTAGATCAATCTTCATTGCTCCTCGCCACGCCACTGCTTCATCACTTGCAACTGCTTCAGCGTATGTGTTTGGAATGTCAGAAACACCGTCAATTCTTGCCGCATACGCCAACACTGCTGTTCGGCAAGTAATCCATCTTCATCAATTCTTGGGTGCTTCGGAGACTGTGATATTTCGCTCTCTTCTGATCTTCTTTCATCATCCAGCTCCAAGCCGTCTTCCAGTAATAAGACTGGCTCTCGAGAACGCCTTGCCCGTTCTGTGCCTTGACGAAACACCAAACGATCTCCCCAATATTTCGCGGAAAGCTATATTCTGTCAGCTCTTGCCCAGTTGCTATCCGATCTTCGAGTGGTAGAAGTTGCTCCATATTGATATTGCGCACTGATTCGACCTCGCTCATCTCAATATCTGGCGTATACTCCTCGACACTGTTCATAGATTCGTCTATCAGCGGCCGTCGATCAGCAGGAGAATAAGTTGCTTCTTCAACCACTTTCTTGAAGCATGCGTAACTGACTCTTTTTCCGATCACAGTGTGTCGTAAATACCGTTAACTTCACGCTCATCAAGCTGAACAGATCGTGGGGTCTTGATTTTTGATGATTCGAAATCATAAGCACGATACTCCTTTGCGTTTTCAGCATATCCAAAAAGCATACACTTATAGCTTTAAGGCTCGAGCATTGTTCTTTTAGAGCTGTCAACGTGAGCATATCCTTGGGACCCAAGCACACATAGGTTTTCCATTCGGGTTTTCTGTTTTTAATTACTTCGTACGGCGTCATGTCACTTTGTTCAGTGTTCACAGATCTATTAATCAAATAGACTGCAGTACTTGAACCAAAACATTGATATGTTCTTGTAATAAATCATGCTTATTGCCATCTCCATGATAGTGCGATTCATACGTTCCGCTACACCGTTTTGTTGCAAATTTCAGTATACGGTCCGCTGATGCATGATACCATCCTGGGAGCACATAGCTGAGACCTTCTTGTTCACGAATTCCGTTCCATTGTCAGAGCGAATGCATTTAGTTTGCTCTCTCCATTGCTTTTCGATAAACGTCTTATATTTGGCGAGCTTCGCGGCGACCTAAGTCTTACTCTTCAGGAAGTAAGCAACCACGAGAAGTAATAAATCATCAACAAATGTTAGCACATATCTTGCTCCTCCTTTATATACCGTTTGCATGGGTCCCATCACATCCGTTTGAACTAACTTCAAAACACGCGATGTCTTATATATTGAATGTGACGGAAACGGCTATACGCCAGCCTCAACCACAAGTATATGACGCGTCAGCTTGATCTGTTGCTAATGGTGCCGAATTATATGTAGCTCATTATCTGCCTGCATCAAACTCAAGGATATACTTAGAAAAATTCCCCATGCAGAAGAACACCCGTGTTTTTATTTTTTTAACTATAACAGCTCGAGCACCACAATCACAACTGATCCACTGGCGTCGTTACTCCACGAACTATCGCAGTCAGCAACACCATGTGATTTGGCAACACATGTCCAATTCTTTGGAACTACAACTCCGCTGTTTCAACCGCCACGCTATCCCCAACCGACCTCAATGTTTCGACTTACACAATCTTGACAGTTACTGCCGATGTTAACGGTACAGCGACTTTGGGAAGTGGGTGTTGCTTGATCCCAACATTCTCTCGTTTATAAGCTCACAACTAACAGTCCAAATCCATCAGCCGTCAATGCCCTTATTTAGACAAAATCTTTCGAACGTTTAACCAACAAGGCCAACCTTTCAGGCTGATCAATCATTCAGGTGGACAATCACAAACGGTAATGCTAATCCCAAAAAATTGATCATGCAACCTGTTATCACGAATGTACCTGCAGGATCTAGTTCTCGTTCAGATATGATCAATCCATTCCGTAATCCTTTCAGTACCGTACCAGTCACGATGAGTTATTTCGCCGCCTAACGTCCTTAAAGGTAACGGTAGGAAACGTCTCAATCTGGAATAAATCTGTCAGCTTCGTCTCTTCGTTCAAGAAATGTCGAACTCTGGCGTTGACGCGATGGACACTATTTTGCAATGTGCCGTTCATCACTAGATACCATTTCACTCTCAATTAGTATTTTCAAATCTGGTATTCAGCAACAACGAACGGGTTCTTCACTGACAAAGAAAACCAAGCCAAAAGCATACGATTACTACTACAATGTAGCAGTCAAAAGTGATTATGGAAAAGGCGCAAAATTGAAAGTGATGATCCAAGAACAAGCTCTGGACGATGCTTGCAGCGATTCGATAGCAAACCTATTCCCACAG